AAACGAGATGATGAATATTAAAATAAAAAACGGTAGCACAGTAAGGTCGCGGCACAGTATGGAAGTGGCATAGTTGGGACAAGTATAGATGATATCTGACAGTGATTAAAATCACTATAATAAGAAGCGCTTCGATGCAAATCTGTAGATAGTGTTTAATTTTAAAAGATTGGTAGATTATATCAAAAGCAACCATAACTCTTATTCCCTTAATTCAACTTTTTGTGATGTTTTCAAATCTGCATTTATACTTTTTTTATCGCTTATAATTTTTGATTTTATTACTAATTACATCATAGACTGATGGTAATGGAGTTGTGGTGTACCGGAAAGAGAATAAACAAAAATAGAAGAAACACGGGGGGAAAATCGAAGATTCAGTGGTGGAAATAGAAAGGGGAAAATTAAAAAATGTTTGCAAAGACGGTAAAAGAGATGACAGTGTGGAGTGTCGAGGGAGACATAAATGATGTGGAATAGAATTGCTAGTTGTGTAAAGAATACTGAAAAGGAGATTGTTGGTGAGAGTAGGAGTAGAATGCTAGGAAACAAGAAACCCGGTGGTGGGATGAGGACGTTCAAAAAATCATAGAAAGTAAGAAAAAGCAATTAAATATATAGCAAAAGAGCAAAAGGAGAAAAGATTGAATGGAGTATAAACACTTGTGCGAAGTAGCCAAGTGTGCAGTAAGTAAGACGAAGTTTAAGAGGTATGATGAGTTGTATGATAGGTTAGGAACAAAGGAAGGCTAGAAAAAAATCTATAAAATTGCAAAGGTAAGAGAGAAAAGGTCTAAAGATTATCATTATATAAGGTGTATGAAAAATGTTGATAATAAGGTANAAGGTGTATGAAAAATGTTGATAATAAGGTACTCTCGAGTGATGATGATGTGAAAAAAAGGTGGAAAGAATATTTTGAAAAATTACTGAATGAGGAGTATCCAAAAGAGACATTAGTGGATATCTCGTGGAATGCGGGATTGGTACATTTAATTAGTGAAAAAGAGGTATGGAAGGCTGTGGGATCATTTAAAAAGAATAAAGCAGTAGGACCAGATAAAGTGCCAGTAGAAGTATGGAAAATACTTGGTAGTATTGGTATAAGGTGGTTGAAGGAACTTTTAAATAAAATCTTATTAGAAGGGAAAATACCAAATGAATGGAGGAATAGTACTGCGGTGACGATATTTAAAGGTAAAGGAGACATACAGGACTGTGGAAATTATAGAGGCAAAAAGCCTATGAGTCATAGTATGAAAATTTTGGAAATGGCAATAGATAAGAGAATAAGAAATGAGACATCGGTATCTAAAAACCAGTCTGGTAAGTCAACAATAGGACAAAGAAGAAAAAGCTGTGTATGGTATTTATAGATTTGGAGAAAGCGTATGACAGAGTACCGAGATAGGTTTTAAAGTGGGCATTAATGAGAAAAGGAGTCCCGAAAAAGTACATTAATATAATAGAGGATATGAGATGGCACTTGTACCAGGGTAAAAAGTGTGGGAGGGGTAACAGAAGGTTTTTGGGTAAGAAAAGAAATGCATCAAGGTTCTGTTTCAAGCCCTCACTTAGTTTCTATAGTGATGGATGAAATTACTAGAGAAATACAAGGAAAAATGCTGTGGTGCATAATGTTTGTAATAGGAGAAATTAGGGAGGAAATCAAAGGTTAAATAAGCTCTTGAAGAAAAGTGTTTAAGAATAAGTAGGAGTAAGACAGAGTATATAGAGTACGAGTTTGATAAAGGAGAACACGAGGTAAGTGAAATAAGGAGGCCAGTGACAATAGGCGAGGACGTGATTGGAGATGTGGAAAGTTTCAAGTATTTAGGATCAGTTGTGCAAAAGAGCTATGGTATTGACGAGGATGTAAGACGCAGGATTAAGTGCGGGTGGTTGAAGTGGAGAGAAGCGTCTGGTGTCTATTGCGATAAAAAATACCAATGAGGATGAAAGGTAAATTCTACAAGACTGTAATAAGGTCAGCTATGATGTATGGTTCAGAGTGTTGAGCGGTTGATAAAAAAGTAGAGCAGAGAATGAGTGTAGCAAAGATGAGAATGCTTAGATGGATGAGTGAAGTGACTAGAAAAGATAGAATAAGGAACGAGCATATAACAGGGAATATAGGTGTAGCGTCAATCGTGTATAAGATGAGAGAAAATAGACTTAGATGGATAGGTCATGTTATGAGGAGAGAAGCCGTAAGAACAGTTGTAAAAATGAATGTTGAAGGAAGAAGAGGTAGAGGAATACCAAAAAAGAAATGGAGGGATGCTATTGAATGCGATTTGAGGACAGCTGTTGTGAGCGTAGATGATGTAGGGTCATGTCAAGTAGAAGTTTAGGATAATGGTAGCCAACCCCAAGTAGTTGGGATTAAGGCGAGGAAGAAGAAGAAGACTTTACCTTCAAAAATTAGAAAAGATTTCCCCATTATCAAATAAAAATTTCTTAACCAATTTCTCCATATAGACAATTAAAATCATTCATTTATAATGTTTTTAAAGTATATATTGTTGAATTAGGTTTGATATGATAATATGTTTCAACTTCAACGTTGAATAATATTACTTTGTTATTTATTAATTTTTTAACTCTGTCATTCTATAATATTCCAAATTTTTTTGTAATATGTACAGGAGGTCCTAAGACGCTTGTTATAGCAATGTAAATTGAAAAATATAAAATCCAAAAATTTTTTACGGAAATCGTACGTTTTTCTTTAATTTTGATGTCCGTTTTCACCACGAAACAAGTCCAGAGGTCAATTTTTTTTTAATTAAAGTATATTTTATAAGCTTTAATTTAAAATATATATAAAAGTGTGAAATAGCGATAGCGAATAGATGGAAAGAATACGTAGAAGAGCTATATGGAGAAGAAGAAAACACCAACTTACTCGTTGTAAACCCAACCGACGGTGACTTTGATTCAAATTTAGATACAAGGATTCTAAAATCAGAATTTGAAGACGCACTTCAAACAATGAAGAAAACAAAGCACCAGGCCCAGACGAATTAAACACAGAACTCCTACAGCAGTCAGGAGATGAAATAAAGAACGCTCTGTACGAACTGTTAAGTCAAATATACGAGACTAGGAAAATTCCGAGAGATTTTGGATGTAGCAGATTAGTTATCCTACCAAAAAAACCTAGAGCAAACCAGTGCGAAAATTTTAGGACCTTAAGCTTGATATCGCATGCGGCTAAATTACTGGCAATAATTGTAAGCAAAAGAATAAGTAAGAGGATAGAAGCCAGATTAGCAAACGATCAATATGGTTTCCGGAAGAACAAAGGAACCAGGGAGGCTATTTTAGGTCTGAGAGTAATACTTGAAAAGCAAATTGAGAGACAAAAAATCACTTATATGGCCTTTGTAGACCTAGAAAAAGCATTCGATAGCATAAATTGGACAAGTCTCTTTAAAATTTTGGAAGAAACAGAGATAGATTTTAAAGACAGACGTATTCTTTATAAGATTTATGAAGAACAAGAATCCATTATTAACATTAATACAACAACAGTGACTGCCAGAATCCAAAAAGGTGTGAGACAAGGGTGCCCACTTTCACCTGCATTGTTTAATGTATTTATTGAAAAAGCAATAAACGTCATAAAGCTTTGGTTAAAACAAAAAGGAATTGGAGTGAAAATAGGAGGGGTACTAATAACAATGCTTCGCTTCGCTGATGATATAGTCGTTCTTACAACATCTGAGGAAGACTTACAAGCAGCGTTAAATGCAATGAATACTACGTTCAAAGAATATAGTCTGAAAATAAACGCAGCCAAGACCAAAGCCCTAGTATGCTACAAGAAAGACATACCATATATAAATATAACATTAGAAAACAAAGAAATTATCCAAGTAGACTATTTTTTAATACTTAGGCAGCATTATAACAGACGACGGGAAATCAACCAAGGAAATCAGGAGCAGGATAGGTCAAGCAAAGAATACATTTCTTAAAAAGAGAAAAATACTAACATCAAAAAATATGAACATAGTAACGAAGAAACGGCTCATAAAAACATACGTCTGGAGTGTGGCATTATACGGAATTGAAACCTGGACAATTAATAAGAAAGAAAAAGATATGTTAGAAGCTCTGGAGATGTGGTGTTGGAGAAAGATGCAGAGAATAAGCTGGACTGATAAAAGATCAAATGAAGACATCCTGAGGACAATAGATGAAAAACGAACACTGATTGACATTATAAAGAGAAGGAGATGGCAGATGACAGGACACACGTTGAGGCATGGAGATGAATTGCATAGTTTAATAATTGAAGGAATGATAGAGGGTACAAGATCAAGAGGAAGACCTAGAACGAGGTATATTAGCCAAATAATGCAGGATGCAGGGGTCACTTCCTACAGGGAGCTTAAAATTATGGCGAATAATAGAGAAAAATGGAGAAGCCATTTATTGTAAAACATTTGTTAAAAACCAATCTTCGGATTGAAAAAAAAAAATAATAAAAATAAAAGTGTGAGTCTTTCCGGAAAATGTTCAATAGTTAAGTTGAAAATGTTACCATTTTGAAACCCTCCCTATAGGTAGGTAAAGGGTCAAATGTTCACAGAAATATATTAAATGATAGTTAAACACCTATGGTATAAAAAAAAAAAAATTATGGCAGTTATAAGAAAAAAAAATTGAAAAAAGTCGAAAATTACTAATTTTTAAAATTGTAACTTTTTGGAGGATTTCCTCCATTTACAGGGAATGAGTTAATTTTTTCAATTTTTGAGGGTAATGCCTTCGACTAGATACAATTTATGATCTTTTGAACTATTGTTCATCAAAATTTACCCAGTGAGAGCTGTTACTGAGTGGTATCAGACACACAAAAAAAAAAACGCATCATAGTAAAATTAATACCTTCGTACCTTCGCATCGAAGCTAAAAAATTGTGATAATTTTATACAAAATGACTAATTTTTTTATATAATATTTAATGATACTGATTTGTTTTATGTTAGACAATAACTTATAGGATTTTCAATCCATGGTATTTCAGTAAGTCTATTTTCAAAATATCAACGTTTTATGAGAAAAACATAAAAAATATCATTATATTACACAATTATATTAATAAGTTATTCAAGAAAAGTGAAATAGGAAAAGTTAAGCAAAATATTGATAAAACTAAAGGAAATACGTTTATTGAAATAATGGAAAAAGTTGACAAATTGACAGATGAAGATACACGAAATTTAGCTTTTGTCTTACTTGGAGGTATATTCGTGTACTAAAATAAATATAAAATCTTATTTTAAATATTGTTATTTTGTAATTCTAGCTGGATCTGATACAGCATCTGTAACGATTTCTAATATAATATTCTTAATGTCTTATCATTCAGATATCCAAAATAAGGTAAAATTATTATTCTTCGAACAATTGAATATTTTATTTGTGAACTTTAATGATAAGGTATTTGTGGAACAAAACAAGATTTTTTCAAGTGGATATCCCAATCGTAGACCAACTTACGAGGATTTGCATCAAATGAAATATCTTGAACAAGTTATTAATGAAACTCTTCGAATCCGCTCAACTACACCCTTCACTGTCCGATATGTTGAAGAAGAAATTTCAGTTGGAGGTTACTTATTACCTGCAGGTAATAAATAATAGACTAGTAAACTTTATTCTATATAAAACACTTCGATTCGAAAAAATAAATTTCTATTTTCGGACTATTAATTAAATGAAATTAATAATGAGAGAATAGAAAAGAATTTTGAATTTCTTGACTATATCTGCTAATTTGATTACTTAGCACTATGTCGATTAGAGCACATATTCATCTTTTTGTTCCTCGCCTTTATTGCAAATACTTGAGGTCGGCCACTGTTATCCTAAACTTTCATTTAACATGATCTCCCACATAATCTACGCACGCATTAGCCGTCCTCATATCGTATTCGATAACATCCCTCCGATTCTTTTTTGGTCTTCCTTCCTTTTCTTCTTTCAACATTCATTTCCATAACTGTTCTTACAACTTTCTTTTTCCTCATAACATGATCAAATAATATAAGTCTATTTTCTTTCATCTTATCCACGATTGATGCTATACTTATACTCTCTCTAATATGTTCGTTCCTTATCCTATCTTATACTATACTCATTCATCTAAGCATTCAAATCTCTACTACACTTATTATCTGCTCTACTTTCTTGTCAACCGCCCAACACTTTGAATCATACATCTTAGTAGATCTTACTACAGTCATGTAGAACTTAACTTTCAGCCTCATTGAAGTTATCTTACCTCATAACACACCAAATGCTTATCTCCATTTCACCCATCCGCACTTATTCCTGATGGTATGGATCACACATTTATTTATTTTTTATTTATAAAGTACGTTTTAAATTCACTAACTTAATATAAGTTAAAAGTTTTCAGACTTTCAATCATAATAAATTAAGTTGAAATTAAAATTTTGATATGCGTTGGTCTCTTTTATACCTTTCCTATTCTTTGGTTGTTAATTAAATTTTTAGAAAAAACTATAAATTATCTATGCTAATTTATATATAAATTTTAAGAATCGGATTTATTAATATGGTTTTAGGCATTTTGAAGGGACCCTAGTTTGTAAATATAGTTGTAAAAATATATAGTAGCATAGACATATTATTCATTTAAAGGGGAATAAATTTCCTAATCCTCCTTATAACACATTTTAATCAAATTAGTAAATATTTCACTGGTTAATTTTTGGAATAACTTAACAATATTTATAAATGCATATAAAATATTTATTTTTATATTATTATTTATATCATTTTCTAGTAAGTAAGTTAGTTAAATATAACTTGTTTAAGCAACAAACAAATAAAATTTCAATGTTTAAGGAGAAAGAATAGGAAAACAGATTTTGGAAGTGAAAGTCCTTTTCAGAAGGTCCGAAAAAAAATATTATCGACCGTCACGTTTGGCCGTCTCGGACAGACTCTATTATATTATTATTATCAAAATTCTATGATTCAATGAACGTACGAGAAATTTAACAACTATTATGAAACAAAGTTATGTTTTTAATTGAACCTTTTTATGTAGATAATAATGATAATAGAAATTGATAAAGACTGCTGATTATATTGCCTAAAAAAATTTATAAAATATTTTTAATTTTATTCGCTTTAAACATATACTATTAGTAATTGTTTGAACAAGTTACGAAACAATACGCAATCAGCTGATGGCCGGCTTATCTCCTCGCCCGGGACGAATATTATTTAGAACACTCTAAAGATTTACGACGGGGGTAAACCGGTCCGTGTGTCCAGCTGCCCAACGCATTAGACAACATTGGACGTGCTGTGCATTTTTTTGATAGTAATTCAGACGATGGTTTTGTGATACGCACGGCCTTTTCTTAACTATAGTTTATTTATTTATTATTTTTTTTAATAAGCACATGCGTTAAAATCTTATTTTGCTCAATTTATTGGGTGTAATTTAATTTGTAAAATTATCTAACAGGGTCTAATATTTAGTGTGTATCTTGCGCGAAGAAATAAGTGTCAAAATAGCATACTTAAACAACAACATTTTAGCTATATATATTTATTTGTTTTTTATGTTTATTTTTTATTAAATTAAATAAAAAATGAGTTGTTAATTATTATTAACATACTAAGTTGCACTAAGGAAGTAAGTTATTTATAGAATGTGTCTAATATAATAATACTGATCTTTTTTTTTTCTGCGTTCAAAAGAATTAAGAACAACTTTGTAGTGTGTATATATAATCATCTTTAATTGCTACTTATTAATATTTTAATTATTTTCGTTTGAATATTTCACGTGAAGTTATTTATTATTATTATTATTGTTTTTTTTTTATTAATTAATTTTAATTGACCGTGATTTGGTGTTAATAGCGCGGCAATAGTAAGCTCGTTTATTCTGGTTTGTTTTATGTATTCTTATTAAGGGTTAATTAAATTTTTGTTATTATAATGGCGAATGTGAATGAAAACAGATCGGAACGCGTAATGCGAAATTTGATTAGAGCCCGAACGACCGCGGTTTTAGCAAGGAATATTGTTGTCGCTCGAATCCGATCCATCGTCGACATTTCTGCGGCTTTAAACACTCAACCAGCACTTGTGCCCCGTTTTTTAGTTGCTGCTAATGATCTGGAAACACTATGGGAGAGCTTTCTTGTGGCGAATCAAGAAATATTGGCCGCGATGCTAGATTTAGACTGTACGAATGAATTTTCTATAACTCTTGAGTCAGAGGTTCGTCAATTATATGTGATCGCGGTTAGTGTTGTCGAACAATATAAACTATCAGGTCCCATCGAACAAGAAAAAATTAATGGTTCTAATAATTTAAATGATTCACAACGATCAATTGTTTAATTTGGAATGAAAGGCATGAGTCTGTCAGTTGTAACAAATTTTTAAACATGTTAGTCGAAGATCACCTTAAGATAGCACGGGATAAACGAGTGTGCTTCCGATGTCTTAATTTCAAACACTGGTCCACTCATTGTAAAGCTTTCAAGCCGTGTGATCGTTACCCGGGTCGTCATCATTCTCTTCTACATCGAGACCGTGAAGTGGTGCAAGATAGTCCTGTCGCTCCGGAGACCTTCCTAGTTAATCCGTCTAGTCAACATACTGTTTTATTGGGGACGGCCTTGGTGCATATAAAGGATCGCGCAGGTTATATGCATTCGGTGCGGGTGTTGATTGATTCCGCTTCTCAAGTGAGCACCATCACGATGTCATGTGTAGATCGGGTAGGGTTACAGCGGTCTAAGTGGACGGTTCCATTGACGAGCTTGTCAGGAGTTCCCGTCCCAAGTATCAGCTGTATGGTAGTGTTGTATGACCCCAAGATACAACGTGGACCATTGTCTAACGGAACCAGCTCCGGATGAGTTTTCCGGATCCCGACAAGTAGCTTTACGTCGTTTCCAAAATCTGGAACGTAAACTAACCATAGATAATAAGTTAGCCGAAGAATATTATGCGTTCATGCGCGACTACCAGCAATTGGGCCATATGTTCATTGCGACTACCCCTGGAGTGTATTTCATTCCCCATCACCCAGTGTATGCAGGATCACCAGCGACAAGTAAACTACGCGTGGTGTTCGATGCGTCGGCTACGTCCGGATCTAAAAGTTCCTTAAATCAGTGTCTCTATACCGGACCCAAGCTACAACAGGACATTGTTGATATTTTATAGCGGTTCCGTATTTATGAATATGCGTTCACAGCAGACGTATGTAAAATGTACAGGCAGATTTTGGTGCTTCCAGAATACCGGAAGTATCAACACATATTTTGGAGACCATCCCCATTGGATAAAATTGAGGAATTTGAACTCAATACGGTGACTTATGGTACAAATTGTGCTTCGTTTCTTGCGTTGCGAGTCTTACAGGACATTGCGGAACAGGAGTGCACTGATCTACCACATGTTCGTAATGCGTTGCAACGTCAAACCTATGTCAATGATATTTGTGTGGGCACATCCAGTACTTCTGAATTGTTACAACTTCAATCGGATTTGCAGATGGTCCTTGGTTCGGCTGGATTAGAATTGAAAAAATGGTCTAGCAATTCCTTCCAGGTGCTATCGGCCGTGTTGCCGGAAAATAGAGCGGTTACGGCTGTAAATTTTAATGACCACGATGGTGGCTTAGTTAAGGTTCTCGGCTTGCAGTGGCAGTCGTATATGGATGTGTTTGAGTTCAAAGAACAGTTGTCATCCAAGGCTATCATTAAACGTTCCGTTCTATCCGCCATAGCACAAATTTTTGACCTCCTGGGTTTCATTGCCCCTGTGGTATTTCATGCAAAGCATATTTTACAGCTCATTTGGAAAACTGAATTAAATTGGGATGACCCGCTTACCACAGTATTTGGCCGCTAGATGGCAAGCGTTCGTTGAGGATCTTCACGCGTGACCTAACATTCAGATACTCAGACACGTCTCTGTCGCGATACTCGGTAATGGTATTTGTATCAAATCGTGTCCATCAGGTTCAGCAATGTCTACCTAAGTGCGTTTGGAGATACGTGCCGTCCGAGTCCAACTCGGCGGATTGTGCTTCTCGTGGCTTGCTTTCTTCGGAAATACTTCATCACACCTTATACTGGTCTGGCCCAGACTTCATCAGTCAGCCAGAAGATACGTGGGAGAATCCACTACAGTATTTGCTGCCCGATGAACATCTACCGGTATCCAAAGCAGTTTCTCTGGCCACTACAGTTGACGTCGAACCTAAATGGTTCACACGTTTCTCTTCTTACACTCAGCTGATTCGGGTAACTTCATGGATGCGGAGGTTTATTGGACGATATCGAGGAGCGGAGTATCCACACGGTTACCTGAATAGCGTTGAATTACATGAAACCCTTGTCATCATTGTTACTTCGTCCCAAATGTGCACTTTGAATAGTTTAGTCAACGAATTGCATCATCGGCGATTGCAATCACGTACCTTCGCCGGGCTTCGGCCATTTATTGACTCCGACGGAGTGATGCACGTGGGTGGTCGACTAAGCAATGCATTAATGCCCGCGTCACAACGACAACCCATTCTACTAGCAAAAACGTCTTACCTGTCAGTACTCATCGCACGTCATTGGCATATAGTAACTTGTCATTCAGATCCAAGGGTCATCACCGACTTGATTAGCCGCCAGTTTTGGATCATGCACTATATGTGTCAGAACCATAGCTCAGGTACCACATTCCGTCATGGCTGATATTCCAGCTTCAAGAGTGCAAGCATGTCGCCCATTCAGTCGTGTGGTAATAGACTATGCGGGACCTTTACAGATGAGAGAATGTCGATTACGTAAGGCCCGGGTGTACAAAGTGTACATTGCCATCTTTGTGTGCATGTCGGTAAAGGCGGTTCACCTAGAAATTGTATAGGATTTGACTACGGATGCCTTTTTAGCCGCTCTTGATAGGTTTGTTGTTAGACGAGTTTTACCTCAGGAGATATATTCCGACTGTAGGACCAACTTTGTCGGTGTGTCCAAACAACTGGCAAACCTGATTAATCATCCAGACAATCGGGTTCGGATTGCTTCACATTTAACATGTACGTAGCATTTCAATCCACCGGGTGCCCCTCACTTCGGTGGCTTATGGGAAGCAGCGGTGCGGTCTACCAAAAAATTACTAGTACGTGTTATGGGCAGCCATAACCCAACTTTGGAGGAGTTAAACACTGTAATGTGTAGAATTGAAGCAGTGCTCAATTCTAGACCCCTCACACCAATGTCTTCTTCACCACTTGATTTAGATTATTTGACTCCTGGGCATTTCATTATCGGTCAACCTTTACTTGCCGTACCAGATGTCTTGGTACCCAAAGAAGTCACCAAACTACCAACAAGATGGAAGTTTTTGCATCAATGCCATCAAGCTTTCTGGCGTCGATGGTCAAATGAATATCTGTGCTCCTTACAGAAGCGGAACAAATGGATCTCAGAGTCGGCAAATTTGAAAGTTGGCGATATGGTCGTCATCAAAGACAATAACAATGCTCCGACGTCGTGGTGCCTTGGTCGTGTGATCACTGTTGTACCAGGACAGGATGGCGTGGTATGAGTGGCCAAACTACTAACCTCCATGGGGGAGATTACCAGGCCCGTGGTCAAGCTAGTATTGTTGCCAACAGAAACCTAGTTTAATGCTACCTATATAGTGATATTAGTATATAGATTATTATGTTTCATAAGTGTATTATTTTTATTAAAATCGTAATTTTTTTATATACTATGCAAAGTGTACGTCTTGATCAACAGTCTTATATTGGGTCATCTTACATGTTTATTAAGCAGCCCATTCTTAGTAACAATCAACTCAGTATTATGTTGACACCTCTGTTCTATGGTTATTGCTGATTTATTTATTTATTTATTTTTTTTGTGTTTTTAATCTATATTAATTTTTTTTTTTTGGATATTTTGATAAAGGAGTTGATACCCAGGGGTTGTATTAATACGCTTGCATTACTCATGTTATGCTCATTGAACTTCCTTTTCCTTGGAATAAAGATGCCAACTCCTATTACGTTTTATTTACATTCCTGTTATTAAGGTTACCTTTTTTTTTTTTTTTTTTTTGTGTTATTATACATTTATATTTAGTCTATGTCATTGTAACTATATATTCCTATTCTATTAATAGTCATAAAGTTATTTAAAATCATTCCGAATTATTGTTAACCTGACCCAAGTCTCCGAGAAAACGATTTCTCTGTCCAGAATGGCTCCAGTTAGAAGATGCCCCGTCCTCTAAGGGGGAGTATGTTTGAACAAGTTGTGTAACAATACGCAATCAGCTGATGGCCGGCTTATCTCCTCGCCCGGGAAGAATTTTATTTAGAACACTCTAAAGGTTTACGGCGGTGGTAAACCGGTCCGTGTGTCCAGCTGCCCAACGGATTGGACAACATTGGACGTGCCGTTAATTTTTTTGATAGTAATTCAGACGATGTTATTGTGATACGCATGGCCTTTTCTTTTGCGTACGGTTGATAAAGTATCCAGTGGGATTTTGCTGATTTGTTGCCAAAGATACAACGGTGGTTCCATTTCTGTGTTGTACTCTGGCCATCGCCATTTATCGTTGCGAATCTTCGGTTGTCCATTGCCTGGACCGCGTGGCTTGGTCATAGAATCCGTGGATGGTTTTTTTGCGGACGTCCTGATAAAGTTATGTGTTAAAATTGTATTATTAAAAACCACAGTGATTATATGAATGGTAACCGTTCTTTTTTTTTTCTTTTTATGGTTAAAATCAATTATTGAACCTTTGGTGTGTTATTACTAGTCATACGGGCCAACCGTTTATTAGGAGTCCGGTGGCGAACAGTAGTATAGCTTAGTAAAAATTTTTTTAATTTTGTTGATGGAGTGTGATTTATTTACAGGAAGTATACTACTAATTTGTGTTGCCAATTTACATAAAAGTCATTTGTACTATAAAGATCCAGAAAAATTCAACCCAGATAACTTTTCACCAGATGAATGTCTGAGTCGACATCCTAATTCATTTATGCCATTTGGATTAGGGCCAAGAAATTGTGTAGGTAAACGTTTTGCAATGATACAAATGAAAGTAATAATATCTACATTAATTCGAAATTACCATTTTCACTTTTCTGAGAAATATTCAAAACCAGAAGACCTTATAGCAAATTATTCAATTACACAAACTTTTGATGAAGGATGTTACGTCAAATTTAAACAAAGAGAAAATAACATATATCCTGTTTGATGTTTTACTGTTATTTAATCATTTTATTTTTATATATTACATTGGTATGAGTGTTTAAAATATGCATTAACATTGTGTATAAAATATAATTAAATTATACAAAAATTAACATGATATATAATATATATAACTTGATCCAGCTTTAAATATTCATTAAATGGTAATTATTCATTTTGAGCTTTTCTTACTGGGTTTTTCTTAGAACTTAATATCTTTGTTCTAACGAACTTCGCGCAGACAGCGCAAAGAAACTTAAGAGTATATTTTTAGTGTTTAATTTTTGTCTTGGTAATTATGGTGCCGTATTTTTTCAAGGCGTCAGAGGCGGGACACATTGTGCCACCACAATACCGCCTTGATAAAATTTTTATTTAGACATTTATGTTTTTGAGTCTTGTTAGGTCAGAGGAAGCCTTAAAATGTATTGGTATCGATCTCTCAAAAAATATACTCTCTCGAAAGGATATTTATTTAAAAAAATGAAATAAAGGTACATCATTAAATTATATTTATAATAAAAATATTGAGTGTATAGAGTCTTTTACATTTCAAAAAACAGTTATAGATTTTTTGTAACGATCTCGTATTATTTAAATACGATTAATAAATTAATTTAGACTGTTTTTCTAAACAGTCATAATGACTATACAATGCACTGTGTACAGCGCGAAATTCAGAATCAACGTTGGATTGTTTAAAATATTGTTACGTTCCATAGGATACAAAATAAATACAAGTTTTATTTATGATTTCAAACCACAAACAATCTATTGTGTAATAAACCATTAAGATAAATAATAAAATTTTGTAAAGGATATTTAACATCATTTATTCAATATTATTAAATCTTTATTTTTAGGTCAATTCACTATTTTGTCATAAACGTTTGTATTTATTTTACTATTACCCTTATGTGCTCAGCAACCATTTCCTATCCTTCCTAAAACCCCTTTTATTTAAATCATTACACCTTAACAACATACCCGAGAAAGGTATGTGTCCTTTTTGACCTTGTACTGTACTAACATAAGTAAAAATACATTTTAAACTGTTATATTAAATAATAATACTGTGCCCAGTGTGTTGTTTAATAATATCAACACTACTCAATTGAGTATATTATAAAATTTCATTACAATAGTAAAAATCTATTGTTAAATTCAGGTGAAACTAAAAATAATTTTTTTTAGACAGCAACATATTACCAAATAAATTGGAATATTATAGACAAGTAGTAGCACACACAAATAGAGTTAAAAAATTAATAAATGATAAAGTAAAATTATTTAATTTTGTAGCTGAAAAATGTTATCATATCAAATCTAATTATACAATATATACTTTAAAAATATAAATTAATGATTTTGTTTGTATGGAGAAAGCTGGTTAAATAACTTTTTATTTAATAAGGGATTTTTTTTTCAATATTTGAGGTTAATATCTTTAATTGAATACGAATTGTTATCATTTTACGTATCGTTGAAAAAAGTGGGTCAAGTGAGGCTGAGAAAATTAATCGCAGTCACAAATAAATCAAATAGTAAAATAAAATTAATATGAATAAGAAATTTCTTCTCATGATGGAAGACTACAGTGATGAGATTCTTGATATTTATTGAAGTTATTGAATCAAAATGATATAAAATTCAAATGAGATGAAAATTTTCTTCTATTTCTAAAATAATTAAGAAAAAAATTCATTGCCACAGGCGGGGATTCGTACAATGTACCCCAAGCGTGAAAGACATAAGAGTTATCGACTCTTATATATAATCGGTTATTAGGTCACTGTCCAGTGTTCCCCTGGGCAGTGGATAAATAGTAGGCCCTCTGATTTGGCTGAAACCTTACAACTTTATTATTCGATCATATGTTGATAATATTAAATATTAAACTCATCTTATAAATTTTGTAGGTTTTGCTCTTTACTATTAAAATACGCCTCTAATAATTTATGGGACCCTATTATCTAAGCACATTAAATTTGCAGATGGCTGCTTAAAATTATTTATTGTTTAATAAAATTAAAGTGCCAATAATGTGTTGTACAATGATTATATTGTATAAAAGAACGTAACTCGGTGGCCAAAACTTAGTTATGTTTTGTATCCCTTTTTTTTTATTTTTTACACGATTGGCTTTACTGTGGATCTCTTAAATGCGGAAACCCTTTGTGTATCGAAAGACTGACGGAAAAGTCGAGACACTGCAACCGGGCGACCTAGCCTGGTCTTGGGTAGTGTCCTCCACCGCGACACCGACTCATGCTCAATCTATGGAGGACCGAGGGAGTTGGGGCGCAGACTGTTAGTTAGCGTCGTACACTCGGTCCTCCTGTACGGGTCCCCGATTTGGGCGGATACTCATGAGTATTCGTCCAAAAACCGCGAAGCCCTGCTCAGGATGCAGAGGCGGGCGGCTATCGGGACAGTTTCGGGGTACAGAACGATGTCCGGAAGGGTGGCGGATATCCTATCGTCACTGCCGCCGCCCAACCTACTCGCCGAAAAACGCGCCGCCGGACATGAGATCCGCCGAGAATGCGGCCTGGCCCTCAAACCCGAAGACCGGCTGGCGCTAAGGCGGATGAACAAGCTCCGGTGGCGGACTCGTCTCTCGGAGAAAACGACGAGAGGCGAGTCCGATAGACTGGACTAGTGGGTGGACCGGAATCACGATGAGATGACTTATCGTCTAACCCAAGTGATGTCCTGTCACGGCTGCTTTAACGAGTATTTACACCGTATTCGCAAAGCAGCCGCGCCGACTTGTGATGTCGGAACGCCCGGGAGAGGTTGACAGCGCTCTGCACACCTTCTTCTGGTGCGAGGCGTGATCAAAAGTTGATTTAGATAAATATATTTTTGTTTCTGATAAAACTTCCTTGTAGTCCAGTGTATAAAACTTATAACTTTGTTATAAATAACTAATATTTTTTATTGAAAAGTATTGTATCAAGCCCTTTAAATTTATATACGCGTTAAATGTAAAGAAACTTTAAAATAAAATATAACTACTTTATTATTTTTATAATATATCCGTAAAAATTACAATATTACATTATTGAATATCAATTTCATACTAAATTTAATTACCATAATTATTATGTACTCATATATTATAATTATAAATCAGGATAAAATTAAGGGAATAAGAGTTATGGTTGCTTTTGATATAATCTACCAATCTTTTAAAATTAAACACTATCTACAGTTTTGCATCGAAGCGTTTCTAATGATAGTGATTTTATTCACCGTCAGATTAAATCTATACTAGACCCAAATATGCTATGTCCCCACTGTGCTAGTTTTTTTATATACTTCTTTTAAATCGAGAAAAATAAATTTTAAATTTGAATTACCTTAAATTGTCAATTTTATAGTCCGACATGTAATATTATATTATTACATATAATATTAACATATAATATGTATGTCACATATTATGATTATACAAGATCACCAAAACAGGGTTCTCTTATTTAAAATACAAAATAACCCTTTAATAATGCAAAAAATCTCCCTCTTGTAGAAATTATTAAGTAACACCTACACGCAGGACCCTCTTTTAATTAACCAATTAGAATATAAAGCTTCAGCTACCAGGATCACGGTATAGATCGCTGGGCTACCCCCTTCAAACTATAAAAAGCCATTTTCCCCCGTCTAAACCCGTTCTTTCGGCGATGTTTAAATACACAAAATCTACTACACTCTACTCAAGATTTCACTCTCCGGGACTTAGTCGATTTTTAAATGACACTTAGAAATTATAAGATGAATTTTGTTTTGGTGAATCTTTTAATTTAATTTAATTTGTTCATGAAATAATAATGTTAGCTTCGATGCGAAGCGGAGAAGGTATTAATTTTACTATGATGTGTTTTTTTTTTTTTTTTTTTTTTTTTTTTTTTTTTTTTTTTT